TAATTTAAAAATAGTGAAATTAATCTTTCGAACACTGAATTAAACTCTATCCACAATATTATGTTAAAATAGTGTCATGTTGAATAGGTTTGTAGAATAAGTCCAGACAAGTTTAACCAAAAAATATTTATTTCTCACAATTATGAAGGGTATAGGGTCAGGGTTAGGCTCAGGGTTAGGGTTAGGGTCAGGGTTAGGGTTAGGGTTAGGGTTAGGGTTATTAATGCGGGCCACCAGTCACAATAACATTAGTAACAGGTCAGTTTGAAATGAAAGACACTAACCTGTCAAAATTCAGTTAAATTATGGGGTCTTTGTTTTTATCCTTGTGAAAATAGTATTGAGTATCGAGTATTTTCCTGAGTATCTGTATCGAGTTGAAAATTTTAGTATCGTGACAACCCTAGTTCAGAGGATCTTTTCCTGGTTTCTGCTGGTTGGTTTTGGTCATAACTGAACCAGTTATTGTCATGTAAAAGGCTATGATTTGACTTTGAGGGACGTAATTGTACAGTAATTGTACAGTTTTAAAAATGTGTTTCAGGGAAATTAGCTTTCCGGATTTTTCTCTGATGCTTAGATGCTGATATGTAGAGGAGCAAACCCAACGCCGGCTCTGTTCTGTTGTGATCCAGGCGGACGGTTTCCTGCGAGTGAACGGTGTCGCAGACGTCCCCACGAAGCCTGAAAGTCCAGGACGGGAGTCTCCTCCTCGTTTCCAGGCCTCGCCTTCCCAAACGGCCGACAGTGCTCCGGTAGCTCCTCCATCGGCAGCAGGAGGAAATCCCGACTCCATATCCACCAGGCAGACAGAGAGAAGCCCAGAGCCATCTGAGGAAGAAAAAACATCCACCGAGCATCTGCCCCCCCTCAGCCGGCCCACTTCTCTTCCAGGGGTGAGAGTCAGGGGTCTAGACCAGTGTTTTTCAACCTTTTTTAAGCCAAGATACAGTTTTTCATTAAAAGAATCTCGAGGCACACCAACCAAAAATGTCAAACAAATCTGTAGCCGCCTAAAGTAACACTATAGTTATTCTTATCTTATTCTTATCTTATCTTAAGTGTCTTGAATAGGAATCAAATAAACACAAAAATGTATTTTTATCATATTTTATATTTCTTCTTTCAAATTGCACTTAACATGTCCACTTCAATATACAAAATTATATACAAAATCTAGTCATAAGGAATTATTACATGATTACTCCACCAGTCACTAGTACAGCACAGACACTTAGAAATGGCATATTATTTTCAGAAAATTAATTCCTTATCAAAAAATTTTTTTAGACCAATTAGGTGAAATAGGATGATTTTCTACGGCACACCTGACCATCACTAGTGTACCGAGGCACCGTGGTTGAAAAACACTGGTCTAGAAAACAGTAAACAGAATAAACTGTTCGGCCTTTTCCTCTGTGTGGTGTTCATATTGTTGTTACTCAGCCAGTGTTTGTGGGTCTGATGGACCCGTTGCATTTTGTGTTTTTTAATACCTTACAATCAAACACTTTCATATTAAAATATTGAACAGATGTTTACCTTATCTTAACTTCTCTCTCTCATCAAAAATCAATCCCAGGGCCCTCTGGGCAGAGAACCTTTCGGCCATTTTGATCGGTTATAAGAAACCACTCTGGCAAAGCTGTGCCAGTGTGGTCCCGCCCCCAATTTTTTGCAGATAGACAGAAAATTAGAGCAGAAAAACAATTTCTTTTGTGTTTGTGCACCTGCAGTTCCCACACAAGGTTGCAACATTGTGAGTGCGTGTTCGTGTGTGTGTTGTACACAGAACATTAATTTCCACACTTCTTTTAGCCCCGGGTCCAGTGGACCCGGACATCTTATATGTAATAGAAATGTGTAGGGGGGGTGTACGGTGTGTGGTCATTAAATATGTATTCTGATATATTTTCTTCACAGAAAATGAGCCAAAGCCAGTGAGTCTCAGTTTGAAAACTTAATTAATTGTGTATCATTTTTCTTTTAATAAAAAATTAAAACGGTTCCCACATACCCGAACACAAGGGTTAAAAGTTTAGTGGATTTAGTGGAAAAGCACACAGCAGTTTACATTTATCCGAAACTATGTTGCTTCATCGTGATGTTCCCTTTTTGGATTTTGGCCAGTAATCAGAGAAGTTTAATTCTTTAAGTTGAGGGTTTCACATCCTCGTCTTCCCCAGTCCAGGGTTTCTGATCTGCTCCCCTCAGTCGGTCATTCAGACGGAAAACTGTCTTTCAGGAGCTGCAGAAGCCAGAGGAAACCTTCGCGATGACGGGTCAGACAGACGTCGCTCCACAGGAAGAGAAACCAAACCCTGC